GATGTGACATCCTGGTACTTGTATGTCTCTGCTTGCTCTATGCTGTGACACCCTGGTACTTGTATGTCTCTGCTTGCTCTATGCTGTGACACCCAGGTACTTGTATGTCTCTGCTTGCTCTATGCTGTGACACCCAGGTACTTGTATGTCTCTGCTTGCTCTATGCTTTGACACCCATGTACTTGTATGTCTCTGCTTGCTCTATGCTGTGACACCCAGGTACTTGTATGTCTCTGCTTGCTCTTTGATGTGACAATCAGGTACTTGTATGTCTCTGCTTGCTCTATGCTGTGACACCCAGGTACCTGTATGTCTCTGCTTGCTATATGCTGTGACACCCAGGTACTTGTATGTCTCTGCTTGCTCTATGCTGTGACACCCAGGTACTTGTATGTCTCTGCTTGCTCTATGCTGTGACACCCAGGTACTTGTATGTCTCTGCTTGCTCTATGCTGTGACACCCAGGTACTTGTATGTCTCTGCTTACTCTATACTGTGACACCCAGGTACTTGTATGTCTCTGCTTACTCTATACTGTGACACCCAGGTACTTGTATGTCTCTGATTGCTCTATACTTTGATGATTTATTGTGAGATCCGCAATTGGGCGATTCGTCCTCCGGAAATCGACAACAAAGTTTTCCGTTTTTGAACCATTCAACTGCAAAACATTTTCATCGCACCAACTGATAAAGATTGTTACTAAGCTATCAGATTTTCAAAATTCATTTGTCAGTTTATCAATTTTTTTCTTCCCCTTTTCGCTGTAGTTCGAGTTCCGTATCTGTTGTTTGTAATGTTCGTTATGAGTCTGAGGTCATTTGGTTGCCTTCTGTATCCATTATATCTAACTTGTCCTGTACGACAGTGTGTTCTTGCCGTATAACTTTGTTATAGTTATAGTATTTTCAGTATACAATTGCGACTGGCTTAAATGGCCCACTCTTCCTTTGAAGTGTGTCATAACAAATTCAATAATCTCTAACCCCGCTCACGTATCTCCTTTTCATAGTCTCTTTTTGGAATTTTATGTTTTAAAATTATAGTAGTATTAATTAAATTCACAATCTTCTGCATCAAGAAGATACTTGAAGACACCCACACACAAACACCCACATGCACACACACACACATGACATGTATATATATACTCCAGGGCTCGTTGCTTTTCAATATGTACGTTCAGCCACTGGGTGCAGTGATCAAGCAATTTGACATGCTGCATCACATGTTCGCGGACGATACACAACTTCATCAATCTGTGATTCCCTCTCAGTTCCCTCAACTTCTTAGTACGGCACAGAAGACAGTGGAGTCAGTTAAGCACTAAATGGCCATAAACAAGCTCAAATTGAATGATGAAAAGACTGAGCTGATCCCCATTGCCACCGCTCAGAAGCAAAAATCTGTAAATAACACAACATCATTTACTCTCTCAGGTGTCCGGATTGAGTTTCCTCAAACAATGCAAAACCTGGGTGTCTACCTAGGTAGAGCACTGACTTTGGAAAATCACATTAACATGCTTTGCAAGGCGATTTTTCTAGAGCCGCGCAGGATTAGTCATATCAGACCTTTCTTAACGTTTGATGTAACAAAGAGGCTGATGTCTGCATTTGTGTTATCACGCATGGACTACTGCAATGCTCTCATGGTGGGGCTCCCAGCTACGTTCTTGGATAAAATTCAAAGAGCACAGAATAATGAGGCTCGCATTGTTCTTCGCAAACGCAAATTCGACCATGCTAAATCCCTATTGAGAGAGCTGCACTGGCTGCCGGTCCACGCTCGCATAGAGCACAAAATTAAAACTCTGTGCTACAGCTGCTTACATGACCTGGCGCTGTCTTATCTCAAACCACTCATGACGCCTTATGTACCCACTAGACAGCTCCGCTCATCCGATAGTGGCAAAATATCGATACCATGTGTTCACAATGAGACTTAAGGAAAGCGCACTTTTGCATTTGCTGGCCCACATTTGGAATGCCCTTCCAGTCACTCTCAGAAACAGCCAGACACTGGAGTCCTTTAAAACCGATTTAAAAACACATCTATTTCGCAAACACCTTCTGGGGTGATGCTATCTACCATCTTTTTCAGTTAATGTTTATTGGCTTGTGTTGCTTATGGTTGAAACGGGATGAAAGACTTTGACTTGGTATGCTCGTATGTAGTTTTATATTGTTGCGTCTGTTTTTAAATGTGGTAAATTTTAGATTGTTTTTATTTCTCTTTTTAAT